GGGGGGGAGGTCTGCGTTCTGCCCATGTTTAATGGGTCAGAAAGGTGCACTTAGCCTTTAAGATCCATTTACTACAGGCTGCAGCTGCCCTGACACAGCGCAATGACCTTACCTTGAACAGGAGCTTAGCAGCTTCTAGGAAGTGATTGGCTTTGCGGTAAAGTTCAATAGCGTCCAGCGTTTTGTTCTTCTCCAACAAATGGGAGGCGTACTTGGCAAGCAGCGATCCGATTTCTTTCATGTTGTGATTTTTGGCGAGCTCAACAGCTTTATTCCACTGTAAGAGAGGAACAAAAAGTGTGAAATGGAATTCCTATTCTCACAATGCAGCGATAGTTCTGATATACAGAGATCAAATGTACAAAGCTGGTAACCTTACAATACAACCATGACCATTCCAAGGTTTCCTCATTCCCACAATTAATGTTCTGCACTCAGCAGCGTTCTGAAGTGGTTGGACTAAGATCATGGCTGCCGTTTTAAACAGCTGGTGCTGTCTATTTACATACAAGTGATTGGGCAGCTATAGATCCGCCCGATCACTTGTATGGTGCTGGGAAGCGTGTGCCCCCCTTTCACCACCGCTGCTGGCTATCCCAAGCTCCGCTGTCCACTGTGCGGCCCGGGACTGGCACAGCTGGCCTGTTCATTTCAATCGGAAGGAGTACAGCATGCTTCCAGTGGGTGATCTCCCCTCTGATCACTGAACCCGGAAGCAACCAGTATTACATCACTTCCAGTTTCATCCTGTCATTTCCCTGACTGCTGTAGCTGGAGAAGAAGCAGGTGAAGCAGATCTCTCCTTCATCAGCTTCTTTGGGTCCCTAGATGACATTAGAGGTCTAATAGACCCCTGATGTCTCCATAAAGAGGACCTGTCACAACCTCTTTGCTATTATATAGGGGGCTTGTTAGTGGTTAACTGAACAAACTGAAGAGAGAAGCTGATTGGTTACTATTACTACTCCAGATTATGTCTGCTACACTTTTGATCATTTGATCAAATTTATCCAATTTTTAAAAATTGCATTTCAAAGGGAACAAACTATTTGGTTACTATTAGGGATACACTGAAATGTCGGCCGCCGAAACATATATCAGATGAAAATGGCACTTTTGGCAAATGCCAAAAGTGCCATCTTTTGGCCAACATTGCGGTGCATGCCTGGTTTCTCTCCTCCCCGCTGGGTGCTGCTCTGTGTCCTCTGTGACACAATGCAGCGTCCAGTAGGGAGGAGAGAAACGGTCAGAGGAGGCCGAGCGGTGCGGGGGAGGAGAGCACTCGGCCTCCTCTGACAAATCAGGATGGAGAGCAATGTGGGGGCGGAGGCAGTCATGCGCTGTCACAGGAGGCCAGGCCATCGGTGAAGGGGAGGAGTCAGTTGTCAAAATAGACCGAACTCTCCTCCCTGCACCAGTACAAGCAGTCAGTGATTGCTGTTTGTAAATAAATGGATATAATATGAGTTACTATGTACCAGTTATGAATGAATAGGAAGTGATCTACATCACTTCCTGTTCATTCATGATTTTGGATTTGGTAAAATACTAGATCCACATGTTATGAATGAACAGGAACACTCAGTATAGATGATTCTTGTTAATTTATTACAGGGGCTGCAGAAAAAGATATTGAGGGTTCTGTGTCCCCAATCTCTTTTTCTATTTTAAAAGGGAAATATCAGGAGTCTGTTTAGACCCCTAATATTTCCGCAAAGCCCCTAAAAAGTAAAAAATAAAAATATTTTATAAAATAAATAATACAAAATAAAGAAAGAAAAATAAAATGTAAACAAAAGGTGAAAAAAAAATTATTTTTGGTTTCGGCCTGACATTTTCTTGTTTTCGGTTTAAACTTTTTAATTTCAGTGCACATCTACTTACTATGATGCACCACAGACATTTCTTATTAGAGACTCTTATTACAGACACTTTGAGGCATGTTTTATTGCTACTAGCAGGGTGCTGCTTAAGACATTCTCACCTTGCTTGGTAGGAGAAGTCCTGCAAATACCGGCATGCTGTAGAAGAACATATTTTCTGACCTCTGAGGCGTCTTTCTTTGACATAAAGGATCAACTTATAAACTGGCCAACTCCACAGTGAATGACAGGTACACTTTGTAAGAAAATGTGGTGTTAGCACATCTGAGTCATTGGAGGAATGTTACAAGTGGTTGAAAAGGTTATTTATTCCTACAGGGATTCCCATATATCACTGGCAGGCACAGAGGAGACATTCTCTCCATCCATGAGCAGCTATCATTAGAGGAATACACAGGGATTACAGAGGAGCACCGGGCGGTCATGCGCCGACCATCCTACCTCCCACCTCATGTGTTTGCAAACACAGCTTGAAGATGCTCAGAGAAAAGGGCACAAAGGTCTACACCCGGCACGTCTATGTGACCATCATGTCAACGGTTCAACTGTGCAGGTCATAAAGTTCATGAAAGTTTGTATACAGTAAAAACACAGTCTTTGTGTCAATATACTGCTAGAGAATCCTGGGAAGGAACATGGCTGGTACTGGAGGGCAATCCTCAGCCACAACTGGATGGTAGCAATTAACCATAAACACGGGCACCTGTTGTACCATTTGCAGGTAGTGCTGGACTTTCTTAGGAGAATGTAATGCTGGGCTTTCTTAACAGACTGTAGAGCGTGCTTTTCAAATAACTGACAATTGAGTATTTATTTGATAAAAATGTTATACAAAATTGAAAAATATTTTTTTTAAATATTAAAAGAAAATTCACAAAAAACATTTAGGGCCCATACGCACCTGCACATGCGTTTCTGCTTAAAGGAGAACTATGGGGTAAGTGTTTTTCCCCATAGTTCTCCTAAGGGTCATGGGAGGAGACAAACTAGTGTCCTCCCATGACCCAAAGCTCAGTATACTGAGACCGCCGCAGCCGGGACGGATCCCGACATTACTGTCGAGATCCACCCAGCTGCGTGATTGACAGCTGGCTCTGCCGATCCCGCCCCCGTCCGTTCCGCCAGTCAGCGCTGGAGGACAGTCACGGCTCTCTGCAGGGAGATGATCGAGAAGTGAGCGAGTGACGGTATGTGTTTGCTCACTTCCCGATCTATTGAGCCGACACGTGACGGTTTCATTGTCACACGTCGTCTCGAACTATGAGGATGAGTGAAAATCACTCACCTCATAGTTCTCCTTTAAAGCCCCGTTCACATTGAGCGATTTATCGCGCGGTAATTCGCGCGATATCGCGCTCCAATGCATTTCAATGGGGCAAAGGGTCCTGCTGTCGTGGGTCGTGTGTCGCTACAGCAGGACCCTTTTTGGAGCTCAATGCAAGCTTGAACGCGATATCGCGCGGCAAATCTCGCGATATCGCGCAATATGCAAATCGTGCGACAAACGCACGATTTGCATATCGCGCAGTGGGAACGGGGCCTAAGTGTTAACGTGAGTTTTTTCAACATTCATTTTCAGCTCTCTACAAGTGTCCACAGACGACATAACGTACTTGTCTAATTTTTATCAGTCCAACGCATGGCAGGACATGTATTCTTTATTTCATGTGTTGCAGTTTGCCAAATGACAGGTATAGGGAGTTTACTCCGCGTAAGCCTGCTGGAGTGCACAGCATGTTATTTTAGTGCAATCTGAATTTATTAGCAATTTTTGTACAAATCAAAGAAAAAGGCAAACACAGAAAGGCTTCAGCCACAAAGAGAACATAACAAAAGAACAAGAGGAGAGTGCCCCAAGGGGAACTCGGCATAGCATGGTATCAAAACAAATAATAGCAGTCATGTGCAGGAGCTAGGGCATTACACGGAACAGTGCAGGTAGTCAAGTCTTACAGAGTAATCCGTAGTGAGGGCGCGAGCTCAGCTGCGATACCTGCCACAGTATGTAAACCCCACCGCTCCAGAGACCCGGGGATGAAATAAACAAAGAAACATTATAAATGTAATGGAGTTCCCTTATCCCCGGTACATCTCGAGCGGGGGGGGGGCGATGACAAGTGATATTCAGAGGAAGGACGAAGATAGGAGGACACGACAACTAGGGGAGAACCCCCAGACTGATGGGGGTAAAAGAGATAGGAAGGGATAAGGAGAGAAGAACAGGAAGATCAAAGGGGGAGCAGGAGAAAGAACAAAAGAATATAGAAAAGGACCCACCCCCTGCCAGGGGGCACAATAAGCCCATAATTCAGGGGGAGATGGCCTCTAAAAAGCCCGCCGACTCCCTGAAGGCGATCCAGGCAGACCATGCGTGCACATATTGAGATCCAGCATCACGTTTCTCAGCCAAGAGGCCCTCCAGATCAGCTATACGGGCCATTTCCAAAGCCCATTCAGCCAGGGAATGGGCCACCGGCGTTTGCCAATGGCGCGGGATGACTGTTCTAGCGGCCGTGAGAAAGTGTCGCAAGAGGCCCTTTTTGGCACATTTGAATGACCCGGGTATCATAGATAGCAACAGTATCTTGGGGTCATCTGCCACAGCAACACCTGCCACCCTGAGGTACACCCCCAAAACCCCCCGCCAGAATCCCCGGACCAAAAAGCAGCGCCACCAGATGCGGGTCATATGATCCAGGGAATTATTGCAGCGCCAACAGGAATCAGAAACACCAGGGGACAGCATGTTATTTTAACGCCTGTCTAGTAAATGGCGGACACAAAGGTATAAAGCCACTCATGACGTTTCCCTTTAATGCAGAACTCTGGGATAAAAACAGCTAATTACACAGTTAACATACAGAAGCACTTACCATTGCCCTGGCACTTAGCAAAGGATTTGTAATTCTGTACAGCCATTCTTGTGATTTACACACCTCGCTCATTGTCAAGTTCAACAATGCGGTTTAAACTCTCCATCTCTAGGATTATCAGCCCACGTGCCTCTCCCACTGGACGTCCATGCATGTGCAGTCAGCAAGGAGCCAATCCAGGAACCGGAAAGCTTTTTTAGGAACTAGTAATGTTAAACCAGGTAACAGCAGAGATAGAGCCCGCCTCATTTCCTGGCTGAAGGACATCCAGCATCATCTGGCCCAGGGGTAGGCAAACTTGGCACTCCAGCTGTGGTGAATCTACTTCAATGCCTCTGCCTCTGGGAGTCATGCCTGTGGCTTTCAGCCTTGCAATGCTTCATGGGACTTGTAGTTTCACCACAGCTTGAGTGCTGAGGTTCTCTACCCCTGATATATAACCCTTTTCTCCCCGGCCTGTTTATCCATGACCCCGGCCCTTTCATTAATTGGATATCCGTTCTTTCAATCGTGGAGGCTCAGCATGCTATGCAGGCATTACCCACGGTGGTCTGCATGCAAATGCAGCCTGCCTAGGTATGCCCACTATCCCAGACTGACATCTCCCCATCAAGGCATTCTAATATTTGCATAACTCCTCCCAAGAGCCAGCCCACTGCTCGCATCAGGACTGAGAGCTCATGAGAGGAGTACTGTGGCAGGGTATGATGGGCTCTAATGTTTTCAGGAAGCAATGTACAGCACCCTGCCGGCCCTTCCCACCATCCGTGATCTGCCTGCAATGCTTAGAGAAGTGACGCCACTGGGTCTAAAATTAGATATGTAATAAAAACAGAATGGTTTTGGTTATGTTGAGGGGGAAGAAGGAACCAAAAACAAAATACAAGCAGATAAAACTTCAGCTTTAGGTAAATAGTCAAAATAAGAACAAAGATTTTGAATCTCGACTAATATGTGCTAATATCCAACTACTGCTTACCTGGTTGAGGTGCATGCATGCGTCTATAGCTGCTTTCGGCATGTTACACTTGAGGAAGGCGGCCACAGCCTGCTCACACATTCCCACCGTCACAAACATGCGGGAAATGTCCTGCACAGGAACAAGAATGAGCAGAAGCTGATCACACCGATCCATAGGAACCAGATTTGGAGTTCAAATAAAGTTTTGACATATAATGTACATGTAGCATGATCACTCTCACATTGCAAACATTCTGACTGAACTCTAGGCAACTATATCAAAGACACCAACACAGCTCAGCTGGCTTTATAATTGTAATTGGCCTTACACATTGACCTATAACGTGAATCCCCATATACAGTACCTGTAATGTACAGCAGGGTATATTATCCCATATACACTTACTGGTCACTTTATTAGGTTCACCTGTCCACCTGCTTGCTAAAGCGAATATCAAAACAGCCATGGAGAAATAATGTCACCAGCACACCATACGAGTAATTTAGCAACAGTCCATTTAATGACACATTGCCATTCAATACAAGCGCTTTCGGGGCCTCAGGGGGTCCCCTTCATCAGGCTCAGAATCCTCATTTTGCCACTTCTGTCAGCTAAGAACAGGAAACGGAGGCTACAATTCACAAGAGCTCACCAAAATTGGACAACAGAAGATTGTAAAAACGTTGCCTGGTCTGATGAGTCTCGATTTCAGCTGCAACATTCAGATGGTTGGGTCAGAATTTGGTGTAAAGAAGAAAGCATGGGTCCATCCTGCCTTGTAGCAACGATTCAGGGTGGTGGTGGTGTAATGGTGTGGGGGATATTTTCTTGGCACACTTTGGGCCCCTTAGTACCTATTGAGCATTGTTTAAATTCCAAGCCTACCTGAGTATTGTTGCTGACCATGTCCATCCCTTTATGACCACAGTGTACATATCTTCTAATGACTTATTCCAGCAGGAAAATGCACCATGTTACAAAGCTAAAATCGTCTCAAACTGGTTTCTTGAACATGATAATGAGTTCACTGGACTCAAATGCCCCCCACAGTCACCAGATCTCAATCCAATAGAGCACCTTTGGGATGTGGTGGAACGGGAGATTCCCATCATGGATGTGCAGCCGACAAATCTGCAGCAACTCTCTGATGCTATCATGTCAATATGGACCAAAATCTTGAAGGAATGTTTCCAGCACCTTGTGGAATCTATGCCATAATAATTAAGATAGTTTTGAAGACAAAAGGGGGGCCAACCCAAAACTAGCAAGGTGTACCCAATAAAATTGACTCATTCACCAGACTCATTCACTCATTGACTCATTCACCAGACTCATTCACCTTACCAACCGCTGCATCCCCCCTCTGACAATCCCTACACTGGCTTCCACTCGCCCAGAGGATAAAATTCAAAATATTAACAGTAACCTATAAAGCCATCAACAACTCTGCCCCCGGATATATCTCAGACCTTGTCTCAAAGTATCACCCTAACTGTCCCCTCCAATCATCCATTGACCTCCTGCTTTCCAGCTCCCTTGTCCACTCCTCCCATACTCGCCTCCAGGACTTCTCTAGAGTATCTCCCATCCTCTGGAACTCCTTACCCCAACCTGTCCGTCTATCTCCCACCTTGACTGCCTTTAGGTGTTCCCTAAAGACTCATCTCTTCAAGGAAGCCTATCCCACCTCAAACTAACCGCTCAACCATCACATTCTCAAATAATTTGTCCCCACACAGCTACCTCCTGATGTATCACTTCCCCCTCTTTTAAATTGTAAGCCTTCAGGGGCAGGGCCCTCCTTACCATCTTGTCTTGAATTGAATTGTGATTGTAATGCCTTCCTTATATTGTAAAGCGCTGCGCAAACTGTTGGCACTATATAAATACTATGTAATAATAATAATAAAATGGCCGGTGTCTAATACAGTAATTCCATGATACAACTTACAGGAAGCAGCTTATGGTTCTCGGGTAAGGAATTAGCCAAAACTTCAAGTCCGTCATAATCTTCCAACATGTAGTAGCACTCAGCCAGGCGTTCCTGATTCCTGCCCTGTATATAGTACTGCACTGCATTCAACCTGCACACATAGACATAACAGTAAGGCAAAACATAAAATTCCAATTAAAACCCCAAACCTATTTTCATCTCTATACTCCTAAACTGCAGTATGTTATAACGGATTTTTACTTGGAAATGTCACTAAAAATGGGACTTGTACTCGCTGCAAAATCCTTTTCGCCATTGAGGGACCCAGCTATGATGATAATAGGCAACTGATGGTTATACTGCCACCTACAGGAGATATGGGCAATAGGCACTGAACTGAAGACCAGCCCCCTGAGATTAAATCTCCTCCCACTTCACTTCTGATCAGTGGTAGCAAGCAGTCCATAGATATCATATGGGGGGAAGGAGCGGTGTACCTAAATGGACTGTGAGTGAGTGCAAAAATCCCATTTTCTCTATCGCCCATTAAGAGGAACAGCTTTCATACTAATAAGCAACCTATGGATGTCCAAAAGCATTCTAAACTGAGAGGCGGGAACACTCAAACAACACAGCAGAACCAGGCCAACAAGAAAAAAAACAATCAAAGGGAAACCAAGGGCAATAACTAACCATTGACAAAACCTTTAGAGCAGGGGTCTCAAACCTCTGGCCCTCCAGCTGTGGTGAAACTATAAATCCATCTCATCCATCTCTCCGGGAGTCATGTCTGTGGCTGTGAGAATCTTGCAATGCCTCATGGGATTTGTAGTTCCACCACAGCTGGAGGGCTGGAGGTTTGAGACCCCTGCTTTAGAGAGTATCTATGTTCAAAAACTAAAAATAAATCTGTACTTTTATATTGAATTTCCATAAGTTCTATCCCACTCCCTGCAGGCTCAAAGATTTCTGGCAGGATCAACGTTTTTTTTTTTTGCAATTATCCAACTCTTATAACAAAATGCTTTCAATGAAGGTAATTCAATAATGTTATGAATGCAGGTGAAGTGCACACTGCCTTCAACTACTAGACCTGATGCATGTTCTATTTGAGTGCATTCAGCACAAGTAAGACATGGTAGGGCATACTGCTCCCATTTCTAAAATAGAGATTATATATCATGGGGAAGTACTGTATACCCTACCATTGACTGCGGAAGAACATCTGCAATAGTGAAGGATTATATAACACACAACAATATATTGTATATGTTTGTGCACATTTGAAAACCGATTTCTGTAACGTAGTCCATAAATATTGTATTCGCTCGCTTGTACCATTTCTGTCTGTCTGCAAAGTAGTCACCAATGGCGTTGTAGGCCTGCTCCAGCAGAGCATCGTCTGAGTCCCCGGAACCCGTTCTGAGCAACTGCAGTACTCTGAACCAGTCTCCCAACTTTATTCTTAGACTGATGGCAAGATCTCTGAAAACAGCATGAAAGCCGAGGTCAGCAACAAGTCTTATGTTGTACATATATATATATATTAAAAAAAACACTGGAAATCAATTATAAGCATGAGGTTGTGAAGGAGGATATGAATGAGGAGGATAGTGAAGGTGCTTGGATGGAGGACATCAATGCTAATTGCTTGTTATGGCAGCAGTTCTAAGAGGTCATCTGTGTGACAGCAACGTGTGACAGGCAAAGCTATGAGAGAAGATATAGGAGATCACTGAAGAGAGAAGATATAGGAAAACGCTGAAGAGAGAAGATATAGGAGAACACTGAAGAGAGAAGATATAGGAGAACACTGAAGAGAGAAGATATAGGAGAACACTGAAGAGAGAAGATATAGGAAAACGCTGAAGAGAGAAGATATAGGAGAACACTGAAGAGAGAAGATATAGGGGAGAACTGAAGAGAGAAGATATAGGAGAACACTGAAGAGAGAAGATATAGGAGAACACTGAAGAGAGAAGATAGAGGAGAACACTGAAGAGAGAAGATATAGGAGAACGCTGAAGAGAGAAGATATAGGAGAAAAATGAAGAGAGAAGATATAGGAGAACGCTGAAGATATAGGAGAACACTGAAGAGAGAAGATATAGGGGAACACTGAAGAGAGAAGATATAGGAGAACGCTGAAGAGAGAAGATATAGGAGAACGCTGAAGAGAGAAGATATAGGAGAACGCTGAAGAGAGAAGATATAGGAGAACGCTGAAGAGAGAAGATATAGGAGAACGCTGAAGAGAGAAGATATAGGAGAACGCTGAAGAGAGAAGATATAGGAGAACGCTGAAGAGAGAAGATATAGGAGAACGCTGAAGAGAGAAGATATAGGAGAACGCTGAAGAGAGAAGATATAGGAGAACGCTGAAGAGAGAAGATATAGGAGAACGCTGAAGAGAGAAGATATAGGAGAACGCTGAAGAGAGAAGATATAGGAGAACGCTGAAGAGAGAAGATATAGGAGAACGCTGAAGAGAGAAGATATAGGAGAACGCTGAAGAGAGAAGATATAGGAGAACGCTGAAGAGAGAAGATATAGGAGAACGCTGAAGAGAGAAGATATAGGAGAACGCTGAAGAGAGAAGATATAGGAGAACGCTGAAGAGAGAAGATATAGGAGAACGCTGAAGAGAGAAGATATAGGAGAACGCTGAAGAGAGAAGATATAGGAGAACGCTGAAGAGAGAAGATATAGGAGAACGCTGAAGAGAGAAGATATAGGAGAACGCTGAAGAGAGAAGATATAGGAGAACGCTGAAGAGAGAAGATATAGGAGAACGCTGAAGAGAGAAGATATAGGAGAACGCTGAAGAGAGAAGATATAGGAGAACGCTGAAGAGAGAAGATATAGGAGAACGCTGAAGAGAGAAGATATAGGAGAACGCTGAAGAGAGAAGATATAGGAGAACGCTGAAGAGAGAAGATATAGGAGAACGCTGAAGAGAGAAGATATAGGAGAACGCTGAAGAGAGAAGATATAGGAGAACGCTGAAGAGAGAAGATATAGGAGAACGCTGAAGAGAGAAGATATAGGAGAACGCTGAAGAGAGAAGATATAGGAGAACGCTGAAGAGAGAAGATATAGGAGAACGCTGAAGAGAGAAGATATAGGAGAACGCTGAAGAGAGAAGATATAGGAGAACGCTGAAGAGAGAAGATATAGGAGAACGCTGAAGAGAGAAGATATAGGAGAACGCTGAAGAGAGAAGATATAGGAGAACGCTGAAGAGAGAAGATATAGGAGAACGCTGAAGAGAGAAGATATAGGAGAACGCTGAAGAGAGAAGATATAGGAGAACGCTGAAGAGAGAAGATATAGGGGAACACTGAAGAGAGGCGATATAGGAGAACACTGAAGAGAGAAGATATAGGGGAACACTGAAGAGTATCTGGACTATTTTAATTGGTGTGGCATTTCAATTCCAACATATACTGTGTGGGGTTTTTTTTCCTAGACAGTTTTTGCAGTCTCACCTTCTGTCCATATCCAAATACATCCTCTCTGCTTCCTCAAACCTGCCAAAGTAGGCAGACACCTCGGCTTGCTTCATTGGCTCACTCTGTAGGTTGCCCAGCCGCTTCACAAACTCTATGCCTTGGTAGTCTTTGCAGCGTACAAATGCTTGTTCAGCAGTTTGAAGATCCAGTTTCTGAAGGGCGGCCTCAGCCAGTAAGCGCCTATAAAATGTATATTCATATAAGAATGTTATTTTATTCAAACATATAGGAACACCATAAGGTAACCGTTGAAGTACTGAAATTAGGGACCAAGCCATCCACTAAGGGATAAGTCAATGGTTTGACTCTTGGTCTCAGCTTGAGGTATTGAGCTCTGTGAACAATGCTCATTTAGCCATTTAGAGGGATGTAATAGAGGAGGCACTGGTCCTGCTTTGTAAGTGATGATATAGGCAGCCACAATGTCAGAAGTTTTTTGCTTGGTCACAATACCAGAACTAGAAGGAGGAAGCCTGCGGGATCCTGGATTAGGGTAAGTAATCCATTCGAGTATATTTCCTCTGAATAATTGAAGCCTGCAGCACCCTAGATTAGGGTAAGTAATAATTTCTAGTATAGTCCCCCTAGAATAAATGAGCATTAGAGTCTGATTTTATGGGGTGGGAGAGGCATGTTTATGTTTTGTGATAAGCCACAATACCAGAACTAACAGGGGGAGGCCTGCAGGACCCGGGGTTAAGGTAAGTAACCATTTCTAGTATATTCCACCTAGAATAAGTTTTAGGCTAACTTGTTAGCTGTGTTTGTGGGAAGAGCCCCACACATTTAAATCCCCATTTCCCCTACTCACCTGTCGGTATGTCCGTGACGCCCCAGCCGCCCTTACCCCTTTTTTATAACATTTTACTCTTTGGAGTATGCCCCCTTATTTGCATACTGACCAATAGCGACTACGGCACACCTCAGGTCAAGTTTGGCAGGTTCATCACCTCTATGTTCAGGTACGTATCAGTGCGGTTCTGACTACAAAGGAGCATTAGTTCCTGAATATATGGGGTGGGAGAGGCTTACACATGCCCTTTTATGTAAAAAAAAATGGGGGGTGTATTTATAAATAATTTGCAGTGCCATTCACCCTGTGAATATTCTGTGAACGTTTTTCAAGTCAAATGTAATGTAATATAATAGCGCATTATGGCCACTAAATGTAGCTGTGGAGCACAGGAAATATGGTATTTTTTCCTATGCTCCTCAGCTCCAGCTAGTGGCCATCATGCGCTATTTTCTGAATATTACATTCGACCTGAAAAAGAAAATATACAAAGAACATTTGTTTCTGCCCCCATGTGCACAGAATGAACGTTCGGGGAGATTTGCAGGGCGAATGGCTCTGCGAATTGTTAATAAATAAACCCCTAAGAGTCGCATCTCAAAAGGAAAATGTCTAAAATGTTATACATCTCCAACCTCTTCTCAATATAACATCTAAGCCGTCCTCTATGCTCCTCCCAAGACCTCCTGCTCCCTCATCACCTCATAGTTAGTTAAGTCAGGTTGAAAAAAGACACAAGTCAATCGAGTTCAACCTCCTCCCATGCCCGCCTCCAGGACTTCTCCAGAGCTTCTCTCATCCTCTGAAACTCCTTACCCCATCTCCTAATCTGTTCTACCTTGAGGCAATCCCTAAAAACTTCCCTCTTCAGGAGGGAAGGGAAGAATTTGTCTGCCGACTGATGGATGATTTAACACTTTGAGATTGTTTTGTATCCAATCCAGCCTTATGCAGATCAACTACTCTTCATCGTATGTCTTCAGAGAGCTCTTATTTACGAGGCATGGTTCACATCAGTTGATGTTCTTATGAACAGCAATCTTAAAGTGTTTGAGTGCCTTTTATCAATCAAAGTAGCTCTAATTCACACCTCCAAACTCATTTCATTAATTGGACTCCAGGTCTGCAATCTACTGACTCCAATTAGCTTTTGTTGAAGTAATTAGTCTGTGGGTTCACTTACTTTTTCCTCCAGCGCTGTGAATGTTTAATGGGTGTGTTCAATAAAGACACAAGAAATTAGAATTGTTTGTGTGTTATCAGCTTAAGCACATCGGGGGGAATTTATCGAAAATGGAGCAGTCAAAATCTGGAGCAGTTGTCCATGGCAACCAATCAGCTTCTCTTTTGCAGTTTGTTCAGTTAAGATTTAAAAATGAAAGAGAGAAGCTGATTGGTTGTCATGCACAGCTGCCCCAGATTTTGCCTGCTCCAGTTTTGATAAGTTCCGCCCATTTTGTTTGTCTATTGATATGACTTAGATGAGGATCAGATCACATTTTATGGTAAATCACTGCAGAAAACCAGTTCATTCCGAGGGGTTCACACAGGGCCAAATTAACATCGGGGCTTACTGGACCACCAGCTCCAGGCCTACCACTGAAAATAGGCCCCACCAGCTCAGATCACCTTGGTATGTTCAATGGCAATCCGGCCTTGGGTTCACATACTTTTTCTTGCAACTGTACGTTGTAAAACGTGCACAAACTGTTGGTGCGCTAAAATAATAAAAATGATACTATATATGTCCCAGGGATCCAGGAGACAAAGCTAAATGTGTTAGGCCATAACACCAATCAGATCTCATCTGAATATAAGATAAGGAATCTGACCAGCTCTTCTGGGCTGCAGCGCACCGCTTTTCATAAATCGGCCTATCATACCATTTGGTAACGGTCGCGCATGCACCTAATTGCGCAGAGTACGGCCACACTGTTCCGTGGGCAAACATTCTCCTGATATACTAATTTTTAAAAATGTGTGTTTATTCCCTAATGTAAAAGTGTTATATTTTCCCTGCTAATACCAGTGCGAAAGTCCCGGACTGAACTATGGATTTACTGCTGAACTGGTTTTATAGCCCAGGCAGCACCTGGACATAAGGTGTCCGTGTAACAAAAAGCAGCTTTGTGGCAGTGTTTATTTTCATGGAATACATTGCTGCGTATGATTAGGGCTTCACATGACATTCCAGCGCCAGTCTAGACCTCAGTGTATCTGACATTCCACACTGCTCTGCTGGAAGTAACACATACAGTACAAATCCCCTCTCAGCCAGCTCTGCTCCCTACAGCATAAATCATCCGCTTAATCGGAGAACAATGCCATAAATTACTTCATGTACAGCAAACGGCTTTCGGGTTTTAGTTTCCCCAAAGCAATTGGTGTCACCCCCTCTAAAAAGTCGGGCACTTAGTCATGGACCGAGAGCCCAACAGTGTCAGAAGAGAGGAGGGGACCCGGCGGCATACCTCATCCCGCCGGGTGAACGTCTCCTCCTCTCTCTTCCGGCATCCAACACCAAGATGGCTGCCGGCAGGCGTCAAGTAGATGGTCGCGTGTACGCGATTACGTCACGGTGGGGTGTCACCTGGTCTCCGCTTTGTGTGACACCCGGCCACGGGACGCCCCTGCCCCCCCCTAACCGATCCCCCCACCCAGCGAGCTATAGTATTCTGACAGCTGATTTGCTTTAGTTGCTGTATGGCTGATATTTTTTGGATTGGCTCCTTTGACTAAAGTCGATTGAAAAATCTACTTCTTGAATGGGGGGTCCTAAGGGGGCCACATACTGTTCGAATTTGGCAAGTCAGCAGGGGGAGGCTAAATAAATAAGTTAAATAAAGATCACTAGCCCCCAAGCATTCCAATACACACTCCATGCTGATGATATAAAATATGAACATATTTCCTTACCAAAGCCTTGGGTGAGGGTTGTCCTCTATAAACTGGGAGGCGTCCTCGATGCCAACCTTCTCAATTAAAGCCCGGCTGTCTCGCAATGACCGGATTTCAAAATTAATGATGTAGTCTTTGTTAGGGTGTTCCGGATCCTAAAATGGGAAAACCAATAAGGAACATTTTCACAAGCTGTGGTTTGGAAGTCAGGACAATATGGCTTGGGGACAACTCATAAAAACAGAGATCAGTTAATCTGTGTAATAGTGTATTATTGGAATTACAAAAAAGTAAGTGTATCTAAAAAGAAAATAAAAAATTGTTGGATATGGTATCTGCATTAGATTTGTTCCCTTCGTTATCAGCGTGTGAACCTGCCAGCAACACACATTCACTCCCTGTTCTGTATCCATGGAGGAGCAGCATTGTCATTCTAGTACAGGGCTACCCTGTATAACCATGGAGGTTACAATATAAGCAAAGCAGACTTGAGCTTTAACACTAAAGGGTGGGATTTGAACAATACATGACATGATGCTTAGTAACACACTTCCAAAATACTCTCAATATTCATAAATACCTATTGGTACCTCTACTGGTAGAGTTGTCCTATATAATTCCAAAATACAAACCTTTAATAATTCATCCAAAAGAACAGATTTGATTTCCAAATCTTCAAAATTGCAGATATATCCTGATGTTTGTATGGGTTCCTGAAACAAACAACAACTTAAATAAGATGTTTATTAAATAATTATTATATATAAACTAGAACAATGAATACTTTCTGATCTTTGAGAAAATAGTTTGATCCTCAATCTATGTCACTAATACACAAGAGACAAGTGCGTGCACCAAATGTCTTTGAGTTCTCCATTTTGTGGGCTGCAACGTTCAACAGAAGCCGGCCTATTAATCCATCATATATAGTAAATGTTACCAGCACACCTAGGACTTGTGTTAATAATCCATCTTCTTTATTGATGCAGACTGTCACAAAACAATGTTTCGGGGCCAGGCAGGGTTCCCTTCATCAGGTTTTAGAATGTTTTTTCCGTACTAAAACCTGATGAAGGGGACCCTGCGTGGCCCCGAAACATTGTTTTGTGACAGTGCGCATCAATAACGAAGATGGATTATTGGCACAAGTCATAGGTGTGCTGGTAACATTTACTATATATTTGTAGATACATGGCGCCATCCGTGGTTACTACACCTCCTTCCTTTATACAGAGGGGTTCCGGTAAGGAGTGCAGCAGTTCCTCTCTCAGATTGAAATTAATTCATTAGATGCCAATGACATAGCAGACACTGCTTGGTGTGTTTATAGTACATTCAAATAAAAACTGAAAATTAGACCTTACAGGGAGCTCAGCCAACCTGCTGAGGGCTTCAGATTTTTCCCAGGCACTGCTAGAGGGGACCAGTCTAAGGCTGGCCCATACAACAGATTCCTTCATAAATGCTTATGAGTTTTATTTGAGGAATCCCCTGCTCTTTCCCTTGTATTGGTTGACTGGCTGCCCGCTCTGTTTGTTTAAAGATTTTCAAACTGGCTCCTTCAAATCAGCTGATCGAAGGTTGCCGGGCAGAAGGGTGCCAACAGTGGCACCCACTGTGCAAATTCTTTCCGTTTCCTGAAGAACCGGCCGAACTTCCCATGTATGGCCAGCTTAACTTTCTACCTTTTATTGGCAATCTGATGATCTGGAAACCTCTTTTGTATACATGTCAGAAATACAGGAGGGGCATTACCAAACACACCCAGTTAAGATTCTTTGCAGTCTCTCCCATATGTGTAAAACCTAAATGTAACCATATGTATAAAACCTAATGATGTTTCTTCATTACAGCCACCAATTAGATTCAATTGCCTTGGCAACAATATCTCCTTCCAAACACCCCGCTCCCCTTCCCTCAGTATATTGCGGGCTACTGTCGAAATCCACCCAGCTGCCTGATTGACCGCGAGCTCTGCCTATCTAGAGGTGGGGAATCCCTGCAGGGAGCAGTGACTGGCAGAGAGATGATCGGAAAGTGAGCCAGCAATGGTATGTGTTCACTCACTTCCCAATCTATAGAGCCGACGTGTGACAGTTCCAATGTCACACGCTGGTTCTAACTATGAGGATCAGTGTAAATCACTCACCTCACAGTTCTCCTTTAAGGTATTTTTGTGTCTGTGTGCTCTTCCTATTCACATACTGAAAATGGACTACACAGCCCATGAAAGAGAATCCAGCAGCAGATTAAACTCCACGCCACCAAAAAAATTTTAATCCTTTATAGGAGGCTTTGCCTTTTAAAATTCCTAAGATATGTTCTGCAATAACAGTTTTTGTAATGTTATTTGGAAACATTTACCTCTGGATCCAAGTTCCTGAAAACGTACATCCTAGTTTTCTCCATCATCGCAAATAGGTCTGGGTTGTCATTGGCCCACTTCATGTCCCAGACATCCTTACGCTCAAACTTAAGTTGCTCTCCAATGATCTGCTGCCCCGTGTCATCAGAGTATTGGGACTCCAGATCCAGGAATGTGAGGACCCCAGAAAGATCGATTATAGCCAGGCGGCTGGGGAGACAGTCAAATATGCTTAATACAGGACAGCGCAACTATAGTACACACATCATCACATCATCAACGTCATCAAGGACAGACGATTGTACATCAGTATGTGTTTTCTAACAGCTAGATGTATTACAATGGGAAGTTCATAAAGAAGGTAAATCAGTAGCTATGATGCCCTAATACCTGTTTGTTCTAGGCATGGTCTAGTTATGGACACATTGTTTCTAACATAACCTAAACTGTCCAAAACATGGGCAATATCCAAGGCTTTGGTGCAATGCGATGAATGATCCACAGTCTTATATTGTCTATTCCCACTGACTTGTATCAAGTTTTGTAACATGGATATCTAAACAGACATTTCACAATGTTACATACTTTATGTTGTCAAAATGTCTGCAAAGAAATGCGATTCTTTCAGAGCTTCAGCTGGCTGACATTTATTGCAGGCAAATACATATTAAACAGCCCTATAGATCCCTTTTGAAGCAGCTGCTGGTTCCAAAAGATCCCCAAAGGAACACAGAGAAAGAAAAACAGAAGAAAAAAAAAAAGCAGAGAGCCCCTTAGAATGTAGTATTTAGACATTTCTGCTCGCTTCAGATGGGTGAAGTACAGTTTTACTTCCATCCGTGAGGGTTACTAGAACCCTGTTGGGTATCTGCGGAGGGTGCGGGTGCAGCTCGCTCTGCCTCTAGATAGGCAGAGCCAGCTGTCACTCACGCAGCTGGGGGGATCCAGACATAATTGTCGGGATCCGCTTCAGCTACGGCGTCTCAGTTTACCGCGAGGTGTAGAGCTTAGGGTGACGGGAGGACGCTAGTTTGTGTCCTCCCGTTACCCTTAGGAGAACTATGGGGAAAAGCCTTAACCAGTCTCCTTTAAGGAAGTCCCGGACCTTGACATCCTCAAAGAGGTTTAGTACTGGTAAAAGAATGGGGAATACGGGTCTCCACTCAATGCTCAAGTAGGTTAAGGACCTTGGGAGCCTCAAGGAGGTTTGGTACCGATAAAGGAATGTCCCCCGCAAGCACGCGCGTCTTCACATAAACCCGCGTCGGGTGCGCCTTCATCTGAAAACGACGATCGCGCTACACATGTTGGGTATCGCCACGCACTCCGGAGTGAGAACAATAATTCTAGGGCCAATATTTATGCATATATCTAAACTGATTACCTGTGGGGGCTTTTAAAGCATCATCTATGGGCTTTTTGGGGTACTGAATTTTGTCGCAGTTTCACTGACGCACACAACTTATAATCTGGGCATGTAGGGTATCTATTTACTCTTTGTCACCTCATCTTTTATATATTATTAACAAAATGGGTATTTTATTGTGTTTTGGTGCATTTAAGGGCATTTTTCACAAAATTTTGGGGTTTGATAATACGTTACGCTAATGTGCTGCAGCATAAAAATTTTAAACTGCTAACATTTTATTCTACAGGACCTTGGCTTTCAGAAAATATATAATGTGTGGGGGTTAGAAGTAATTTTCAGGCCTAAAATGTGGATTATATCATGGGTACAAAAAATGAAAAGAAAAAAAAAAGAGCGTAGTCACTAAGGGGTTAATGTTGGTGAACGATGAGCAGGTCTAACACGCGCACCTGGAATTGCAGTTCAGACTCATCTGATAAGCACGGCAGCTCAGTCCATACTTCTGTACTAATGCCACGTTGGGTAGACTGTACCTATGCACTGCTCCGGACTCGCGTGCCTAGGTAACATTGCAAGAATAGACAGCAAAGGTTTAATGTGGTGTATCACTTTCTTCCCTAAAAATAAAAAGTCATAGAAGCCTCCTATGTGCTCATACGGTACGTTTTACTTAGATTTACCCCTCCCTACCCATAATCTGTTGTTTCTTAACACAATGCTCTGTGTGGAGGACACATTAATAAATGGTACCCCTTCCAGGGGTAGCCAAACTCCGGCCCTCCAGCTGTGGTGGAACTACAAATCCCATGAGGCAATGCAAGATTCTCACAGCCGCAGACATGACTCCCAGAGGGAGATGCATCATGGGATTTGTAGTTTCACCACAGCTGGAGGGCCGGAGTTTGGTTACCCCAGCCTTAGACAGTCAACAGCAGACGACTTGGCTGCCACTGAGAGTTTCTGTCCCCAACCAGAGTGGTTCCTGAGCATCTGACCACTATGCCAGCTATGACACAGTGATTACATGTAAGCTGAAGGCTTCATTTAGATAAAAAATGATTTAAGCTTGCAGAAGCCACTGCAGACTGAAGTTGGCAGTGTGTATCTGTATCTGTTTAATACTGTATTTGTACAATACAATTATAGTATTTAATAAGTTAAAGTGACATTAAAAGGATAACATTCCCCTAACCCCCCAATGCTGCTTGAAAGGACCATGAGGTGAGTGAAAATCACTCAGCCTTATAGTTTGAGCCGACGTGTGACAATTAAACTGTCACACGTTGGCTCTATAGATAGGGAAGTGAGCGAACACATACCGTCGCTCGCTCACTTCTCGATCATCTCCCTGCAGAGAGCCGTGACTATCACTCACGACTCCCTGCAGGGACCCGCCCCTCTCTCCGCTCCGATCATCCAGCAATGACCGGAGGAATGGATGGGGCAAGTACAGCTGGCTCTGCCTCTAGATAGGCAGAGCCAGCTGTCACTCACGCAGCTGGGCGGATCCCGACAGTATTGTCGTGATCCGTCCCGGCTGCGGCGGTCTCAGTATACCGTGAGCTGTAGCTTGCTATATACTGAGCTTTGGGTCACAGGAGGAGGTTAGTATATGTTCTCCTGTGACCCTTAAGAGAACTATGGGGAAAAACACTTACCTCATAGTTCTCTTTTAAGGACTTACCTTATATGATGCCTCTTGATCCGATCATCTTCTTCTTTCCAGGAGTTTTCAGCAATCCCTCCAGTGCTGGTGTCGGTCTCTGATCCAGTGCTGACTGCTGTGTCTTCCTGTCCCACGGAGTCTGTGCGGGTGCACGCTGCCGGGCTGTGTGCATTGACTTACACTGTGTCTCTCCTCTCCCCCCGGCCGAAGATCTCTACTCCGCATGTGCCCGCCCCATGATCCTTCACGGCTGCTTGAGAATTTTTCAGATCTTTGGGATGGGAGCGAGCAGGGGAGACACAGGTCAGTAAAGTCAGTCAGTTTTGGTGACTGCTCTTTTTTTTAAAAAATGTTTTTGCATATATCTAATGCTTGCTAGCCGTAGATACATGCAAAAAAACAAGGGTTTAATGTCACTTTAATTTAAAAAAAAATAAAAAAATAAAAGATATACATTTATTTTTTGCCACTGCACTACTTGTCAGCTTATAATAAAAGGATGATAGTGTTCCAAATAAAATCCTTAAAATGTAAATGTATTTAGGTACACAAATAATCATAATATTAGAGACATGTTAGCTACATCAGTTATTATTCTGTAGCTGGAATTCTTTCCTAATCTGGAGTTATTGATATAAAGGGTCTTCAGTCTTTCCTGAGGATGCGGTCGCATGTCTAACCATTGATTTTATATAATACATTCAATTTTAATGAATTACATTTCAGCAATATAGCAGAGCACAGTGCAGCAGAGCACCATCTATTCTATGAGTAATTCAAACACGGCTTTCCTACCTGACAAGTTAGCTCAGTGTTGCATTGTGCACAGCCTACATATCTCATACTGCACCACATCCCCATTCACACCATATCCAGATCATCTCCAAACCAGACCAGATTGTTTCCGGACCCAAAATGCATCCTAATGAATCCCTATGCTATTTCTGGCCTCTGTTCACACCAGTGCAGTCCGTTCCAGACCAGACCAGAAAAATACTGCAGGTCTCATTTTGTCTGCTCTGGAATGCACTGGTACTGCGGGCAGGTTCACACCATTTTCTGTACCAGATTTGGTCTGGAAAATGGTGTGAACCTGGTTAGAACAATCTATGTTTCCCTACTAACAGTTACTCAGCATCTTCCTTTTTATTTTGTATGTGAGCCATTGTTCCGAGTGCCCAAAAAACCCCACTCTCCATAACTCCATTCTTTTCTAATTCAAACCAGGGGTGTGGCACTCCTCATATACCACCCTCCCCCCCTTTTCCCCGCTTAGTTACCTTTTTATTTTGTAACCTAATCTTATAAAAGGAAATGGAGTTGAATGTATGTTTGAAGGGAATTAGACAGTTCTACAGTCTGACACAGAATACTGTATATAAAGCACCGTTGTACTTCAATGACACTTACCACAATTAGGACTTTATCCGATGCCGTTATGCTGCAAATCAGATCTCTTGTAGCCTGAAATATCAAAACACAATATTTACAAGCAACACAAGAAATAAATTAACATTTCCTACATTTTATTACTATTGCTGTTAAAATAGGTTCCGTTTATGCCAAGGGCTTTTCTGGTGCCTCCCCACTAAACACAATCTAATCGCTCTGCAAGTCTTACACTTTGTATATGGCACTGATGAGAGTTAACAAATCTGATACAACTGTGAACAAGAAATAAATGGCTTTGTGTTTTGTTATGGTTTTATTTAATAATGCAGCATTTCTGGCTGTGCAGCTAACCACAGAAGCACAATGGACTGAATTACATGGCACTGCCCCTATCAGTTAACTGACTTCTTTTTGACATACACCTCGAGGAAGTCTATACCACAGGAAAATCACTAGGCTTAGGGCTTGTTCACACCAAGCGCGGAGCAGATCCGGACCAGAGCAGGTGCAGACCGGATCAAAACTGCGTCCAATGTATTCCTATGGTATTTTGACCTCCACTTCACATCGCAGCGTGCGGATCCAGACCAGATCCAGACCGGATGAAAAAAATGCGGCAAGCCCTATTTTACCTGCTCTGGCTCTGGTCTGGAACGCATCTAAAACGCAAAAATCCTGTTTAACGTAAAAAAATTTTTTTTTTTTTTTTTAACCAAAACCGGCCCTAAACGCATCAAAAACGCATCTAAAACGCATCAAAAACGCATCTAAAACGCGGCACAACCCACTACACTGCGTGTGCAGAAACCTGACCGGATCTGGTCTGCATTTGGTGTGAACAAGGCCTTGGTGTCCTGTGGTCTAAGGTGCCTGCATGTTGCCTACTTGTAACTCTTGCTGTGTTGTGATGAAATATATTTATTTTTTATTCTATTGACACAGTTATGGCATTTTTCTATAGTGCAGTAAAGACAACGCTGAACCATGACCATAGTCTATGGTCCTCACAGGAGCTCACAATCTGTCTGATACAATTACACTCACTGTGGTAGACCGATTTTGGGGTGGAAACCAGTTTATCTACCAGTATCTTTTTGGAGTGTGTAAGGAAAGCAGATCATTGGAGAAGAACACATGAAGACACGGGGAGAACATACCAGCTCTAGGCAAAAAATGAAAATGGAACTACGTTTACCAGGGGGAGAAATAGGGCGGCAGTAAGCAGTACAAGAGAGCCCCTCAGTAAGCTTTTTCCTGTCCCATAGGACAGGATGTCCCATTAGAATGATGCCATTGTGTGCATTTGTGGGGATATCAGAGACTTCCACCTATATGTAACCTCCCCTCTATGGAACCGGCAAGACTACTGTGATTCAAAGACTCATGAGGTCCTCACCATTAAAAACAATTAAAGTATATTTAAAGTCAGATCTTTTTCTATCTTTTTTGGATGGAGAAGGAGGTCGCTAAAAGCTGCAGACAGGTTTTTTTGCCATTAGGGAGATTTCCCTTCACTTCCTGTGCTGCCGCAGCAGCTGTTGTCTTTTGTTATTTCTATCACACACCTATGTATTGCATTGTAAATCATTATGTTATAGTATGTTCCTGACAACTGGTTACAATAGTTTAATCTCTATATACTTTGGAATCTTCCCTTTCACCCCCTGCTGTTTTGTGCCAATTGATACAGTCTTCTAGTACACACTGTCAGCCTCTCTTCACCAATTCTTTTTGTCTTCTCCATCGTGAGGGTTCTGTTTATGCTGCACAAGTCTTCACATAGAAATGTCTTTCCACATCTAAAGCTGGCCATACACCTGCAGATTTTCTATGGTCAGATGGAAAAAGTGCAACAGATTCCTCCATCTACGCTAAACTGTGTGGGTGGAGAAATCTCCCGCCGGGCCAAGCTTCAGTATCTTGCTAGTCGGCATGGCTGGCTCCAAAAACACCTGAACAATCTGATTGGATGCCGGCATTGTTCAGGTATTTTAAGAGCCAGCGGGGTTGACTAGCAAGATACTGAAGCTTGGCCCAGTGGGGCTGTCTTCCTGTATACATGTATGCAATGTTCTTATAAGAAGGTCAACCTTAATTCAGCATTCCTCAAGATCTCAGTGCTTCATCCAAACACATAACCAACAGGAAGTGACAGGTTATCTTTCCAATGTGATGAAAGCCCCTCTTACGACATGGGAAGTGTCCGAAATGGAAAGTTTACACTTTGTTCTGGCCGCAATTCAAAATTTTGCATATGCCCTCACTTTCATTCTTGGTGGCACTGGTGATCAGGACAATTAGAGAAAGTGCATCTACCCAATAAAGACACGCATAACAATAAAAAGATGACAGAGGTTCTAACATTTCACGTTACGAACTAAGAAAAAAAATCGCCATGAAAAATAATCATATTGCATTTACCGCCATTGCTTTATTGAAGTCCATCAGACTGTCGCCCACACCAGCTGGGCTATCGTCAATGTGAAACACCCTGTAATACAACCATGATAGAACATAAACCAATCAGATCATCCGCAAACAGCATGATATTGTGAATGTTATCATAGTCCACATGCTTACCGTTCTCTCCCCCCTTTCTTAGTCCGTAACAACTGATTGATCTCCATTGCAGTCAGCTTCTTTGCTACTCTGTACTGCCAGATATAAAAGGCTTCCTTAGAGGCAGCTATAACATGGGTTTTGGTCATGGTCACAAACAGGGGCACTGCAGAAAGAAATGATAGGAAATGAATGTGAAAGCTGTAGAGGGGAGGACGATACCTCTGAGAGAAGACTCTTGTATATGGTCATCCAGTGAGGGCACTTCACTCTAAGCCAACAATTCTCAACCAGGACTCCATGGAACCCTAAAGTTCTTCCGGAGGCTGCTAGGGGTTCCTTAAATAGTAAGTAACGGAGAACTGATTTCCAACATAAATTGACCACAAATGCAAGAGGGTAATTTTCCACCAACAAAAGGGGTTACATCTTCACTGACCACTTCCGTGTATTCTCTCCTCCCCGCTGGGCGCTGCTCTGTGTCCAGGTGGGGAGGAGAGAAAGTGTCACAGGCAGTCGAGCGCTGCGGGAGGAGAGCACTGTGAGCGGCCGGCGTCTCTCCTCCCACACCGCTCAGCCTCCTGTCACAGATCAGAGGAGAGCAGTGTGGGCGGAGTCAGCTGTCAGAGGAGATCGAGCTCTCCTCCATGCTCCGCTCGCTCAGCCTCCTGTGACAGCTGTCAGGCTGGAGAGCGGGTACAAGCAGACAATGATCAGTGATTTCTGAGTGTCTGTACATAATTGATATAATAATAATAATAATAAACTTACAAAATCTGCAGGGGATAAATAATGATTCTCCCTGTAGCTGTATTAGTAGCGGTTGTATCAGGCAGTTGTCTATGGATGTGCTGCTACACTAGGAAATAATAAGGATAAACCTCATATAGGCACCTTGAGCCAGTGAGGGGAGGAGGAATGTGTCAGGCAGCAGGATCTTTGATAGAAGCCTATGGGGGATAAGGAACTGGGTGCCCATATAATTTGTGGGCAGGGTGATTGTAAGGGTTTGATTTTCGACATTCCCAAAGTTAAAAAGTGATATCAGATTTGCAGGGAGTCTTATAAAGCACACAGGCATTGGATGGAGAAAATAAAAACTCCTTTGGTAACCAATCTTTTGATATGAGCACAGGTAAACTACATACCCATTGGGTGGGGCACTCATTTATGGGCCTGCTATGACAAAAATGCCGTTTCCCAGAAGCCCTTTCTGCTTTCAGAAGGGGTCAGCTGCATACATTTCAAATACAGCTTTCCTGAGCGCTCCCCCACCTGTACTTTACACACGATAGACAGGGCAGCTTTGAAGTAAAACTGTCATTAAAATCATATGAAGGTGTAAATGCTGAATGTCTGGCTATCCCAGGTTTTTATTACCTTCCAAGCTGATAAGTTTAAACTTCTATTTTATTTATATCATATTTAATTTTTTTGTATCAACTATTTACAAATGTAATTCGGGGTATAGACATATGCAAGGAGAATACGCAAAAGAAGCACCACTCCTCCACAGCTCAAATGAGCCGGGTGCTTGCTGCTGGAGCAAATCCTTGCTCCAATATGAGCACATACAAACAGAAGAAAAGCTTCAATCGTTTATTGAAGCTTGTACCACATCACTCGTGTCCCACCCAAGGTCCGACCCCCTTGACACATTTCACCCTTAGAGGCGGACCTTGGGCGGGGGACCAGTGATGTGGTACAAGCTTCAATATACAATTCCAGTGGAATGGGGCGTGTGGCCAGTTTGTCGGGGTATACAGTATCTATGACACTCAATTTGCAAAGCATACTGGGATTTCTTAAAAGAAAGCCCAGCACCAGCTGCTTGCAGATCGACCATATGTATAGAGCCAACTAAGCCAGGTAGTTTGCTGCTCTCAGAGAGGGAGCAATGTTACATTGTTGTATGTGATCTCTCCTGCTCTAAAGCGTAGTTATAGAACATAGGGATGCACCGCAATTTCAACCACTGAAAATGGCATTTTTGGCAAAATGCTGAAAGTGCAATTTTTCGGGCCAAAATTGTGGTGCATGCCTGGTTTCTCTCCTACCCGCTGGGTGCTGCTCTGTGTACCCTCTGACACAACGCAGCATCCATCGGGGAGGAGAGAAACTGTCACAGGAGGCCGAGTGGTGCAGGGGAGGAGAGCAATGTGAGTGGCCGGCGTGTCACAAGAGGCCGGGCTCTCCTCCCGCACCAGCCTCCTGTGACAGATCAGGAGAGCGGTGTGGGGGCGGAGACAGCTGTCACAGGAGGCGGGAAATATCATATGTCCCCCGAAGCCCCCAACAGTAAAGTAAAATATTTTTTTTAATATACACACTGAGTGGCCAGATTATTATGACCACCTGACGTTTGTAGGCAAATTAGCTATAATTTTGCGCTGAAGTTGCTAGAGGGCCAGACCATTATAAATAGGGAAGCAGGTTGTTTACCACGACAGAAGAAGTGATTTGTTTCTGAAGATATGGGTAAACAACGCGATTTAACAGCCTTTGAACGTGGGATGATTGTTGGCGCTCGGAGCCATGGAGCGAGTATCAGCAAAACAGCAGAATTCGTTACATGTTCAAGAGCAGCTGTTGTTAAAGTGTTTAAAGACCAGACTGTCAGCCGAAAATCTGGGTCTGAACGTGCGAATTGTGGCCGTCAGCGACTAGTCAATGTTAGGGCAGAGCGGAGAGTGGCAAGACTGGTACAAGACAACAGAAGGGCAACAGTGCCGTGTCAGATTCCTCGCATCACCTTTCAACATCTCGTGGAGTCACGAGGTGGCCCAACGAAGTACTGATGGGGTGGTCATAATAATCTGGCCACTCAGTGTATATACACCTATACATACTGTATACACACTCTATGGCTGTTTTGGGTCAATTGCCAATGAATCATATCATCATATGTCAGACAACACCTGAGCTCATCCCCACCAACCACCAATGATTGAAGTAGACGTGTGCGATTCGTTTTGGAAAACTTAGTTTTTCAGACAAATTCTTATTATTCTGAGTTTCCGATGTATCTGAATTACCGAATAACAGAAATGAATAGAAATATTTTAAAAACTTTGAAAAGAAAAAAAATGTTTTCGGCCTAACATTTTTTTCGGTTTTAAAAATGTAATTTTGTTGCACCTCTAATAGAAAGCATCTACAAAAAACTTTCTAATTCACCGTATGTATAGAGTCAACTAAGCTAGGTTGTCATTCTCAAATGTGTGTAATCAGCGTTTTTAATAGCAGGGGTCAAAAATGTCTCTGCCGTGCAGCGTTTCCCTTTATTGGTGTACATTGGCGACAGAGAACAACAATAAAACTGACTAGGACCAAAAATAGTTTTCACGGCTTACAATAATTTACAACGTCTGTAACCTCAGAAATCAACCGATCCATGGTAGCTGCTTGAGGAAAAACAAGCAGAGTTCTACTTGCATTCCCCGGCGTCACAAAAGCTTATTTTCCCAGCTCTATAGAAAGACGGTGCTGAAGTTGCCAATCTCCGAGTTAAAAAGGAATTTTGCAGGAGGAGGATAACGCGGGCAAACAGTGAACATTTGGCTGTGTTTACCATGGAGCAATGAAAGGTACATTTGTTGGATGGCATAGCTGCAGAACCGGGAGACTTTCGGAGGCAAGAGAATGTACATACTGCTGTTTACTTTCTATGAAAGGTGAGGGATTTGCAGTATAAATTCTCACTTCTCAAAGACGGCTTCTATTCCAGAGCATTATGTAATAAAATAGCACCTAGTGAATATTAGGAAAGTCTGCAGAACAAGCTGGAGGTTTATTGTAGGTAAAGTTCCAGTTCAGGATATACTGTATGTAACACTGTGCGATGAACTGTGACTTTATACTGCGGTCACAGCTAACATACACAGCATCAGATTATCACAAATATGCGATCCTTCATTTTATTCTACAATATCCCTTATTTTCTGCTTCAAAAGGATATTGTATTTATTTAATTCTATTCCGTTCAGTTTATAAGTTTAACATTTGTAATGTATTGCTCCCTCCTATTCCCCATTTTTTCCCTACTTCTCCTCACCTCCTTTCTCTTCCTGTTCTCCTTGTTCCTTACAAATACAAATGAGGACAACATCCATGACACTCAGTTTGCAAAGCATACTGGGTTTTCTTACAAGAAAGCCCAGCACTGGCAGTTTGCAGATGGACCATAGGTATAGAGCCGGCTAGGCTAGGTAGTTTACTTCTCTCAGAGAGGGAGCAATGTTACAACGGATCTCTCGTGTTCTAAAGCATAGCTATAGAAAGCATCTACAAAAAACTTGTGGTCTTACTTGGAACTTACATGCCGACTCAAAGTGCTCGATATGTATTATTCAGTCTAAGCAATATTTTGTTTTTTTTTACTAACCCAGTTAAAAAAGTTAATCGTTTTTCTCTTTGTAAATAAATTATTGAAAGATATACAGGCAGTCCCCGGGTTACGAACAAGATAGGGTCTGTAGGTTTGTTCTTAAGTTGAATTTGTAAGTAAGTTGGAACTGGTACATTTTTTAAGTGTAACTCCAGGCCCAATTTTTTGGGGGGATAGCATAGTGAAGGGTTAAGCCCCTGTAATGTTTGTTTTGCTGTATGTGCCCCTGTTCAGAAGATTTCACCTCACTTTCTGTCCCTATGACATTTGGATTTTGAAAATTGGAAACAAGGATTGGTGATAAAGCTTTAGTGGAGACACCGTTTTCCCATGATAACTCTTACAGGAGTGAATTTCCTCTCACTTCCTGTTGTCTCAAGGACAGGAAGTGAGATTAAATCTTTCTAATGAGGATACAGATAATGTACATACAGTACTACAAACCAGACCCAAAAAGACGGGCACTCCTCGTCTCCATGTCTAGAAAGAGCCAACTTCCTGTAATGTACGTACAGTACTACCAACCAGACCCAAAAAGACGGGCACTCCTCGTCTCCATGTCTAGCAAGAGCCAACTTCCTGTAATGTACATACAGTACTACCAACCAGACCCAAAAAGGTGGGCACTCCACGTCGGCACAAGCGCTGTACCATTACAACTACTGAAATGCTGCCCGGTACACTTTGGCTGCAGCCTGGGACCCCCTGCTGTACAGTAATAGCTTCCGTTTGTAAGTAGGGGTTGTATGTAAGTCGGATGTTTGTAACTCGGGGACTGTCTGTACATAAAAAACTATAGTTTGCCTTTAAAAAAGAATGATCATGTCATCCTGAACCTCCAAATCCACCTTTATTAATTGCAGGGCCGTCCGTCAGGTAGCATCCCTTTGGGTCACCTGGGGGGTGGCCTGCCGCCCCCATTCCATCCAAAGCATCCCAGGTTGCTAAGAGCTGGGCGGATGTGTAAGGGCCATAGATAACCCCTCAGCAATCTGAGACGCTCTGGCTGGCATCCAACTCAGCTTCTGGCAACCAGTGATATGAGTGTGCTTGGCGGGACGTGGGCCAGAGGTAAGAGGTGCACCACCAGGACGCCGGCCAGAGCACCGTTAGTGTGCACCACCAGCACACACCATCA